GCAGTGTCTGGTTAACACGGAATCCGAAGAAACATCACCGGCCCCACCAGAAGGTTACGCAGTGGTTGCTGCCTGTTCGTCTCACTAGGCCTCGCATGCGCATCATACCAATAACATTGATTCAGAATGTCACAGGCGAACCATAGTTCGATTTGCAGCGGAATTTCCGCTGCTAGTGGTATAGGTGGATGCTGTAGATGGCAAAAACGAAGGAACGATGTCTGCCTCAATATGGTTCTATGTCTTCGCCAACAGCCGCAACCTGGAAGTGAATTGGAGATTCCTGGTTCTGAGCATTTCTGCGCCCTCTGGCTTGGCTTGTTCATGCTTCCAGGCGAACTTGTGGCAAAGCGGGCAGCCTCGTCTCCAAAGAGCGTGAAGAACCAAGGGAAGAACTTGACAGATGGAGAACACAAAGTGGACAAGATGTCTGCAGATTAGTGAGGAGAACGTGAAGAGATGCCTTGCAGCCACTGAGCCAATTGCTGCAGCCATGCAATCGGCAGACATTCTGCCGTTCGGGTGACCGGAGACGATGAGCAGCTGTAGCGGTGTGAGGGAAAATTGGAAAAAAGCCAAACACATCAGAGGGCAATGTGGATGTCTTTGGTTTGCTTGAGAAGCGAAGTCATGCTTAAAGCAACAGTGTTTCTCACTGGCGGCTTGATTCATCGTCGGTGCTGCATGTACTTTCTTATGTTTAATGAAAATCATATCAGTGCCGCTCAGATCATGATGTCGCATCCGAACAGCTGCTTTGGCTCAACGGAAACAGCTTGTCTGCCAAACATACCTGAGTTTTTCGGGCAGGTGCGAAGTTGAGCCTCGCACAACTGCTGGATGCAACGGTATGAGAGTGCTGCGGTGTAAACTTCGGCATTTGTCTGGCATCGCCGCGTGGTGACGGATGCTGCTCCTCAAGCTGCCTGCGCAATTTCTTGTTCTCATCTTGGCATTCTATTCCGCGGTTGCTGTACGACCCGGGATCAAAGTCGATCGCAGCAGGCTCGCGAATACTTGCATGTGAGTGATACAGTCAGACAACCAGATGAGGCTCAAGAGAGTCCACAGCTTGCATTGGATTAGACGTTTCTTGATGCAGGAGGTTGTCCAGGCTCTTGCAGGAATTCCTGGCAACGGAAGACGGACGCAACGAGTTTCAGGTGCCACAATCGTGTTGTGATTCTTGTCGGTGTACCTAGCCCGGTCCTTGTTGTCACTGGTCGTGACACCGAAACGAGCTTAGTAGTTTAGACATGCTTTGGTGCAGTGTGAGCAAGGACACCCTGAACACCACCACAGATGATCAGTGGCAGCGAGACATGTGCAACCTGGATTGAGAGGCATCAGCAGACGGAAGGGACTTCAGCGATAGGACAGCATTTTGTTCAGGTGACCAGTGTAATGGTGCCTTCACGAATTATTTCAGCACCTTGCAGACAGCTACAAGGCCGGAAAGTGAAGTATGTCCGAGTCTGTGGATTTAAGTTTTGCAAAGCGGACGCAATTCCTGGGGATCAGGCCCAACTTAGTGGCATTTGGCATTTTGATGCTGGGAGCAATGCTCACCTGGCTGATGATGGACACGGCGCAACTTTTCTTTCTGCCCGCTCTGTGCTTTGATCGAATTGGATTAGGCTTGTTGTGTGCAATTTTCTTGTGAGATGCAGCTGCTGCAAGGGGTTCTGGGGTTTTAAACTTTAAACGACCTGCGTGTCCTCAGACAAGAGTCGCCACGATAGTTGGAAGCAGAATTCCTTCACTTTTGGAAGCCATTCCACAGTCTTGGACAAATCCTTGCATCGGAGTCTCTTATGATCGCAGTATCATTCTGCTCCCTTGATTGCGAAAATTGGCCATGGCTCAGTTTGAGGATACCCTAAACTAAACCTTTTTCGTCCAGATGAAGCTTGCCATCGTTGCGCACTGGTGTCAGGTTCTACTGGAGCAAGCGATTGAACTTGTCGTCCGAAATGGCAGCTGCAACGCTGCTGGCCCGCTGCTTCTAGCCGTCTGGGAGTGGTTTGAGGGCCGAGATCTCATGAATTGAGAGACTGGGAGCCGAATTTCCAAGCTCCTGATCCACGAGACAGAAGTCTTCGTAGTTCATTTGCTTCCACTGCTGTTCAGAAATTCGCTTTGCTTGCCAGGCAGTCGGCAATGGTGCACCTGACATGGCCGATGTTTCTTGGTCCTTGGTGTCTGGCTATTTCGAGCGGAAAGCCCCCTGAATCGGAGAGCTTTCAGGCTGTGGCTGCTGCACAACTGCAAGACCTGCCGCTGGGATTGAGTGATCTGGGCGGTGCGAATCTCTGTGACTTGCTATGAATGGGGGATGTTGGAGACCGTAGTGACACCAATATTGAGATACTATGAGTTTGCTGCTATACTTGGGATATCGAGGCTGCATGAGCCTTGGCAACTGCGTTTGCTTGCTCGTCGCATACATGGCGGATCCAGATTCGAAGTCCACCGTATTGCAACATCCAGGCAAGCTGTTTGCTCGCAGTTGATGATGCTTTGTTCGTGTTTGCAGAGTGAGGCAGAGTTTTTGTTGTCGTTGTTCCAGAAGAGTCGCATATACCTGGATGGAGAATACACAGTTGGATCTGCGATCAGTAACAGCTGCACGCGCCAAAGATCAGGTCGCATTAGATGGATGGGACCAACCACAGTTTGCAAGCCGCATCATCAGGACACTACCTGGTGCTGCTAGCTTTCTACGGCAGTGCTATTGCAGCGAGCTCAGGCATTGCTTGCTCTCGCCCGGCATGAAAACTGGTAACCTTGCAGATCTATCAGACCTGCCAATAAGTCTCCGGGTAGCCAAGTGTATGACCCGAAGGGAACGAAGGATACATAGTGCGGTGACGCCCATTGTCTTACGTTTCAGAGTTTCAGGGCACCGGCTGTTTGGGAACACTGCCAACTACTGTCCCAAGTCAGAACACCCCTGGCAAGGTTAAGGGAAATTGTCCAGAAATTCGGAAGTTTGGGGAAACTGATGTTGAAAACTCAACATCCGAAGCCCCGTTCTTCGAGATGTCTGCACGACTAACTCAGTACACAAGACACAAGAGACTTTGACTACAGCCTTGTGATCTCTGTTTTCCTCCGAAACGGAGTTTTGCAATCAGCATATGGATCTCGGGCTCGGCCGCCGTAATCGTTGCACCATCACTAGTTTGCGATTGAGGGCTCTCACTTCTCAGTCCTGCTCGCACTATCCTCGCCGAGTTCAACGGCTGAGTGCTTTCGCTCATCATGTTTCATTGCCAGGTTCAGAATTTGCCCACGATGACTCCCTCTGGGGTGCAAGACTTGCCCAAGTACAAAGTGCGGGCTGGTGTTTATGTATCAAAGTCTTTATAGACAATCACCTCGGGGCTTGCTCGCCATCCTTCTGGAAGCCAAGAGCGTTCCAACCACCGCCAAGCAGGTTGTAGGGCTTTCCCATGTCCCCCTTTCAGGGTCTCGGGCCATCCAGTGCAGCGGCTTGCTGTCCAGCACAGCCGGCAGGGCAGGGGCCCAGAAACGAAAAAGATTGCTCAATGCTCCGGGATGGTCTGCCGGTCAAGCAGGGCAACATGACCAAAACAGCTAACTGGAGCACCAGGACAGTCTCAACACAGTTCTCCTTCTGTCTTCAGATTCGAATTCGAGGTATTGCTGGCCCTCAGCCTCCAGAAGGCTACTGCCAACTTCTGGCATTTCTGTGCTCTCACAGCTTTGTACGCCGTTTCCCGGATGCAATCAGCATCATCGAACGTACTTCTCGCGCGAAGTCCTCGCTGCCGAAGTGAAGCCAAGGCATTTTTGCTGTATTTGCTTGTGCGAAACAAAATGGAGGCTGGGAAAGCTCATGCAAGTCCTTCAGATGCAAGAAAGCACCTAATAAGTTGCAATCACAGCAAACGACTTCGTTGAGCAGGAAGCCGAAGATGCGCACGGAATGAGCAGATCGATCCTTTTTGGCACGTGTTTGTGCAGAGCTCCCCATCCTGATACAGCGTTCAGCCAAGGATTCGCCGAAGGAACAGCCACTGAATTGAAATGTGAACGAGGTAAGTCGAACACAATAGAAGAGACACGTCGGCACTGAGGCTCTACCGACATTGCCATCGAGGATGCAATGGCCTGCCTTAGTGACCAAGCTCGAGTCAAGATTTGCAGTTGCAAATCAGTTCGGAAAGGCTCATAGAGTCAAAAAAGCAACCCAGGTCCACCAGATTCGAATTGGCGAGGATCAGTAGTCTGGGCTTTGCTGCTTGGCATTCAGTCATGTTCGGGCACTTCTGGTGCTGTGAACAAGTTCTGCAAAATCAGGCTTCTGCCGTTTACGGCCGGCTCCCAAGCAGGTATTGGCAATACTTGCTGACTCCGTTGCTTCCTGACGACTGTCCCACCAAGTTAATGCGCATGGTGACCATTCCTCCGTGCGACTTGCGCTGGGATACACCCCGGCGTGTTTTCCACACTATGTGTCCGACAGGCCGGGCCGGGCAGGACTCCAAACCAGAGCAGCTCCGTAGAGCAGGACTATATCTACTATGCCGGCTCTTGGGCTACATTGCTGCACCGGACTTCAATGCTGGGGACACTTGTCTATACTTGCCTGAGACGTAGCGTGTTTGCCCATACAAGGCCTCACGTGAAGGATCACATGGCTTTTACTTAGGTGGCCACTGCGGTGGCGCTCGCGGTTACGACAGTTGCGGTCTAAGCTGCCAACGTGAATCCAGTGCAGTCGGATCGATTTTGCTCCAGCTCACCACGCCGCGGATGTCCCGTAGACGAAGGTTTTGATCTTTCTGACGGGCGGGACCTCCTCTTTGGCAAAGATTTCAGGACGTCCACTGCCGTGGTTCTATAACGGGATGACGTTGCTCGCTCTGGCAACATGGCGGCAAAAACGAAGAAATGCCCTGCGACAAGCGCTGTCCGTCGTGACGTATCATGAGCGCACAATGCAGACGATGATGGCCCACGAGGTGTCCTCAATGCTTTGGCTTTCCGCACTCTCAGATGACTCTGTGCTTTAGTTATCTTGAATTTCACACCCTCCAGCCACCAAAGACGCATTAGCTCAGCAGTCCATCGTCTGTGGGGGCTTGCACGAAAGATGACACTACAGCACTACAAAACCTAGAACTCACTTGTCTTCTGCTTCAGGAGATCACGGCCTCCCTTGAGGGTCTGTGCCGTTTCTACAAGATTTCAAGACTACGATCTGGATTTACGCTCCTTGCATGGGGTGCCCGAGCTGCAAACCAAAGCGAAGTTACTTCATCGGAGCATCAACGATCACTCTTTGTTGTCCTTCCGTCCTGGGGTCTCAACTTTGTTCTATGTGAGAGGTAATTGCGCTGGCGACCTTGTGGCGGCTTACTCCATCTCGCTAATGGGAGAGTTTTCACTCGCCTTCAATGGTGCCCTTTCATGCATAGATCCCGAAACAGTCGCAGCATGTCCAAGCATGGGTCCCGCTGCCTAAGCAGAAGTAGCGTGGACTTCGGAGTGAGAGAGGTCTTTCGCTGTGGCAGCCAAGGGCTTGTCGCAGGGCAATTCTTCAATACTGCTGCACCTTGTCAGCATCGAATCCGATTGAGACTCGTCAGATAAATTGACCTCAACTGGAGTTTCGCTCCTCTATTTTTGTTGATGCGGAACTTGTCGCTGGCTCGCCCCAATTGTCATGCCTTGGAACGTTCTCAGACTCGGAAAGCTGTTTCCTTCTGGTGACTGTCGCACGTCGAATAGTGGCCACATGGTGTGCGTTCAGCACTTGAGTGTATCAGAGGCTCGAGATACATGCCATGTCTCTGAGCCGAGGTGGGATTCAGCACTGCGCTGATGACTGTCACGTGGAGACATCCACAAATAACGCTCTTTGCAAACGGATGGCCTTCAGACATCAGTCATCCACTGCTGGTGCTACCCTCACGAGGCCAATCGCTTTTGCACGGAGCCGGCAGCAGACCTGGGCTGAGGCATGCACAATCTCGATGCTGCTCGTCGCAGGGAGCTGAGATGAGCTTTCGCTTGCACGATTGCCCCTGTGTCTTGTCAGACTCGAAGAGCAACAGTGTCTGTAGCCTGCAGTCATCACGATGAGGAGGTAGTCATAGAGAACGAGCATTCCGTTGGACGGCCGATCTTATAGCTGTTTCCTGTGCTACATTCTTTCCTTGACCGGAATGCACGAAGTGGGCCGTAAGCCCAAATCAAACACTCGTAAGAAGTTTCAGAAGATCCCAAACATGTTTAGCAGTTCTGCGGCTTTCGGGGCCGCGATGAAACCAGGTGGCCATGCAAGCGACGTTCAGCGTGGTGGACCTGCATGTGCGAAGTCCACTCTGGGGAGTTGTGCCTTCGTTTATCGCAGACACGCAGCATTGTTTCGGTTCGGGCTTCCACAATGATTGCGCTAGGTGCTGGCGGCCATTTACGGCACATTCTTCATTTACATGTGGCGGAACACGTCAGCAGACGTGCCAAACCAGCAGGCCACTGGTTGACATGCTCCTGCACCAGCACCTGCAAAGGAGAAATGCGGAGCTCGTTCTTCAAATTTATTGTGACTCTGCCGCGTGATAGTGCCTTCGAACATGCAGACAAGCAGTCCGTCACGCCCTCAAGTTTCCTCAAGCATCACTGATCATGACAGACGGTAAACGATAGAAATGCAGTCAGAAATTGCAGCGGTTCGTAGCTGGAGTTCTCGAACACGAAGTTGGACCTGGAGCACTCAACAACAACTTGACGTAATGAGCTTGACACTTGACGTGCACCCAAGCCACATGGCTCCGACGGAGCACGCAGTCAATGGCTATAGCCGCGGAGGGAGCGGGCTCCCACCTTCAGCAAGCTCTCCAGAAGAGGTTGGAGCAGCACCAACGAGTGATAAGATTGAGGATAGGCATGACGGACGGAAACGCCCGCAAAATGGCTTGTGTTGTTACACTCTCATTTTGATCCAGTTTTTGGGCGGAACTTCATTGCCCAGAGGCTTTGTTTGAGTGGGCAGCCATGTTAGTTTCAGCCACGGGATTTGAGCACTGCCTGATTGACTGCTGCTTTCCGATTCTGTTCTAGGACGTAGGGTTCAGGGTTCTCGGGCGCCGGGTTTCGGGTTCTAGCCTAAAGGTTTCGGGTTCCAGGGGCTTAGGCTGGCGTAGGGTTTGGGCTTCTAAGGCTGAGGCTTAGGATTTCGGTTCCTAGGGCTTAGGTTTAGGGTTCTTACTAAGCCCCAGCTTTGGGCGTCACGCGACGAGCAATCGAAAACTCGAAAATAAGAACTTACAAAAAGTTGTAGATCTTCGAAAGACTCGAAAATCCAAAGTTCGGGTGTTTGAAGACCTCGCTTGATTCGCACATGCAAACATTAAAACTTCTGAGTTCGCTGAAAACTCGAAAATAAAAGTTCGCAAAATCGAAATTCGACAATTCAAATTTTCTAGTTACATAAGTTCGAAACTCTAAAACTCGATTTTTCCAATGTTTGTCCAGGTCGTGTGACCAAAACGAGACCACTTCCCCGAAAACCCATACACTCCCCAGACACCTGCTAAGGCTTGACATACCTGCCGTCCCTGACACGAGCTTTAAGCTCAAACCTGCAACAACGGCTCAAGTAGTTTCCTTATCCGAACCCTGAAACCTGATACCGTAGCTAAACCCCTCGGCCTTACACCCTATAAACCCATTAAGATGCTAGACTTCACCTAACCTCTACAATGATCTATACTTGTCCGCTCTTTGCGGCCACTTTATAACTTTATAACTTTTGTGTAACTTGTAGGCCTTTATCTACTAGGGCATGTATGTAGGTTCGCATCTTTGGCTCCAAGGCATGTACTGCAACCCTAAGCCCCCAAAACTCTTATTGAAGATACTTGTAAGCTCCCGAAAACTAAAATCCGTGTTAGGCTTTATAAATCCCTACGCAGCCTCACCCTAAACCCTAAACCATAGCACTTTGCCAGGCGTAAATCTTAACAAGGATCATTCGCACTATCAGTGCCGGTTCCGATGGCGCCTTCGACAGCAGCTCGGCTTAACCTCATCCCTAAACCCCAAACCCGTAAACCCTAAGGTAAGCGGCTGGTAGTGCGCCGCATAGGCAAATCAAAGTGTAGGTAGCGTCTGGTAGTGCCGCATAGGCAAACCACGTAGTGTAGGTAGGCAAACCCCGTAGTCTAGGGTAAGTGGCGGGTGCTAGTGCGCCGCGTAGGCAAACCATGTATTAACAAATGTAGGATAGGTGTCGGCTGCTAGTGCGCCGCATAGGCCACGTAGTGTAGGGTAGGTATAGGTAGGCTAGGGCAGGTAGCAGGCTAGGAAGTAGGGCGGCTGCTAGTGCGCCGCGTAGGGCAGGTAGTTTTCCAGGTAGGGCGGCTGTTAGTGCGCCGCGTAGACAGGTAGGGTAAGAGCAGCTAGGAAGTAGTGTGGGGCAGGTAGGCTGGGGTGTAGTGTAGGGCGGCTGCTAGTGCGCCGCATGAAATATCTAGATGTATTACATAAACAAACCCTAAGCTACCCTAAACCCTAAACTCTAAGCCCTACTAGCCCCACTACCCCAAACCCTAAACTGTAAGCCTTGCTACCCTAAAACCTTAAACTCTAAGGCCCTGGCTTGTCCGAGAATGAGTGTCCGAGTCTGAGCGGCCTGCATGGTGGGGTTTGGAAGGTGTGACAGGTGAGAATCACGGATTCGGGTTCTGGGTTTGTGGTTGAGGTTTAGGGTTTAAAATTTCGGGTACTCTTTGCACTTTTGGCCTTGAGGTGTCTGACTCCCTGAGCTCACATTGTAAGGCTACTCACCTCCAGCAGGTTGTTGATTGGAGGGGAGACGTGAAAGGCCCCAAACCCTAAACCCTACTCCGCACCTACGAACCTCGCCTGGCATTGTCCGAGTTGTGAGAGCGTAAACCCTAAACAGAAACTCGGCCCTCTGAGGCTCGAGGCATCATTGACCGCGGCCGCCGCTTGTTATGCACCGTGCCAGCACATTACTCGATTGAATTCGGCGCTTTCAATTTAAGGGTTCATTCGGGGGTGAAGTCTAGGATTAATAAAGGATAAAAGGTACAAGGTTCGTTCGGTATCCTATGAAATTGGATTGGTCTTGTAGACTGGGTTCAGCGCTTCACCTCGGGCTTCACCTTCCCCGGAACCCTCTGTCCATTCACGGTGTACAGGGTTCATATTTTTCAAAACAATGGAGTTCGAGAGGGGTTTCAGATCGCAGCTTGCCTTGAGATGTTCTGATCGATTGTGCCCACATGGAGCATGAGCGGCGTGCTTTTCGACCGCTGCATCTTGCTTTTAAGGCGACGGGGTTGGCGGGTCATCCTGGGTTATCCATATTCGGATGAATGGTTCACAGACATGATTGAAATTCAGCTTTCAGGAGGCTTTTCAGTCAGATTATTCAATGATGCACTTCAGCCCCCATGTCGCTCACACCCTTTCACAGTCCCCATTCCAGGCTTGATAGACCTTTTGGCTTTTAGGGGTTTGTGAAGGTGAGTTCAGGCCTTGATAGACCTTTGGCTTTTAGGGCCAGTTCAGGGGTCTAGACTCCTTAGGAGTGTGCTTGGGCGCCATGTGGTGGCCTGGCAAGTAGGAGGCATAGTAATAACAAGATGTTTGTCTCTGAGGCTTCAGTTGGCGGGTGCACCAAAGCTGGGGTTGTACGCCCGAGCGTTCTGGTACTTGGACAATCCGTCATTGCACAAGAATGCAGCATCTGCAATTGGTCCAAGCCGGTTGGAGCGGACGACACATCAGGATAAAGGCGTGTGTGGTTGGCTGCAAACGCTTGCAGAGCTGAGCCAGCCACAGCGTGAAGCCCGCAAGCATGCAGTCATGATTGTGCAGAAAGCATTGTGCATTCAGACGGGCACGCAATCCGTGGAACGGTTCTTGGGTGAAGTGGAGATGACTGAACGGAAAAACCGTCAGCAACATCTTACTGACCACAACCTTGAATCGGCCTGCAAACTCAATCTTCAGTCACTTCGTGGAGCCAGACTTCCCAAAGTGTTCAAGCCTGAGGAACTTTTCGAATCGCCGCACCTTTCCTTGCAGCGAGAACGCGCATCTGTGCGGTACAAGGCATCTCTTTATGGCCAGGCCGTGCAACAAGCGTATAGAAGTTTCTATGGCCAAAAGGCCATGCCAGCGAGATCCCTTGAGACCCAAAGCGGGCCGCACAGAACATCAGAGAAACCTGGACTTGGGTGTGTGCGTGCGAAGACTTCTGAGCGAGCAACGCTGAGGAACGAGCAAGAGAACATGCTGCAGCAGTTGCTTCAGCGGTCAGTCGTGAGGCATCTTCTTCTTCGTGGCAACCTCTGGTGGACGCGCAGCGAGAGGTTGCTGCAGCTCGGGAGGCAGCTGCTGCTGCCAGCAGCAGTTCGCAACTTTTCAGATGGGTGTTGGGAGCACGGTTTTCTTTTGGCATTTGAGTGGTTTCAATAGGTTCAGGGACTTGAGAACTTCATAGTAATCCAAGGAAAAGACAGGCAGACAACGACGAGGCCGAGACTGAGAGGCCAGCCAAGAAGGCCAAGACGCAGGCTGAAGTCTCTCGGGCAGCGAATGCTGAAGGCTCTCTGGATGCGGCGGCAGATATCATTGCAAAGAACGACAGGCTTGCGGCGAAGAGAAAAGAGATCGCAAGTGCTACGCCTGCAGGGACTTTGATTTCATATGTGGACTCAAGAGGCGGAGTCTACAGGGCCAAGGCCCTGGCGGCAGCCCCCACGGCCAGTCCGGCACCCCCTCTGGGAGAGTGTGTCTATCTTGCCAGCCGGCCAGGATGTTGCGGTTCCCGTTTACAAAAGGTATATACAAGTCAAAGACATGGAGCGGGCCGATGTGGTTCTGGTAAAATCTTTTGCAGAGGGGCTTTATGGACTTGCTGGGCTGGATGCTCGTCTCCATGGGAGGCGGCTTGTGGATAGCGTGGGTGCTGTGTGGCATTTGCGTGCAGCCTTCACTTCCATCTGCGTCTATACCTGCATCAATCGTTTGCTGATGCCTATCCGATGGAACATAAAACCTTGCTTTCCAGCTCAGCTGCCTTTGGTGCCAAGCTTCCGGCATCAAGCAAGCATCTTCGTGTAAACAGTGGGGAGTTGCCAGAAAGACCCAAACACCCTCGTCTCACCTTTGGTGTCGTGTCACAAGAACAATTCGACAAGTTGGGTTTGTCGCCAGGTGGGAGACCGAATAGCGTCCTCAGTTTTCAACAGCTCTTGCACAGACTGACAGAAGTTCAGCGAGGATAACCGCCTTCGGCGCCGAGTTCAAAACCCAAGTAAGGACACGTGAGCCTTAGGCTTGAGTGTTTGGGGAATACTAAACAAGGCCTCAACATAAATAATTATTTTTATGAAATCACTATGATTCTACTATGGTTTTCATTTATGGATTTTTTATGACCAAAAATATATGGTTTCAATATGATTTTGATATGATTTTTGTTATGAACACTTTATGTTTTGTTTAT